TGATTTAAATTATAACACTAATAAATAATGAAATGTCCCATATAAAATATAATTTAGCCCCTATTTGTTATCCATTCTTTGTTAATTAAAATAAAAAAATATGGCCGTTATTAATTATATCAAATCATCAAATTTGAATTTTTATATTTTGTGTGGTGATATATGCCTCCGAAATAGTCTAATTTTCCAATTATTCTCATTCAGATGTGGTTTTTTGCAAGTTGAACTCTATAAATTATAATGATAGATGAGTTTTATTGGGTTAGATTCGACAAACTTATTTGCTGAGCTAAGCAGTTCCTGACTATTCTGACTTGGTGATTGGTCCATTCTCTGCCTGAAATTAGATGACTACCTTCGTTTTAACTATAGTGTGCTTTGCTCGCATTGGAATATATTCATATATTAGTTGATCTCCTGTTCCCTAAACTAATTTGTAGCATATTTTCTATTTGGGCCATGTTTTCTTGTTCAGCACTATGTTCTGAATATCTTGTAGCATAATTATGAACTAGAATATGAGAACATGACAATGCATGATTAATGCTGATATCGAAATTGAAGTAATAGTATATCCACAACAATATTTTAAAGCAACACAAAATCTTACAAAATGTAATAGAAGATCCTACATAAAATATGCAGGAAGAAGATATAGAATCTAGGTGCAGCAAAGAATCTTGACGGAATAGGCCTTCTCTAATAGTAACCATATGGAGGTTGTGGCCTCCTCGGTGGTGGATAATATCCATATCGAGCTGGTGGCCTCTCTAGGTACCCCCTCGGATAATACGAGCCTCTAATAGGATACCAAGGATTTGCTCCACCATAATACCCTTGTACATAGTTTGGCGGATAATATCCATATCGAGCTGGTGGCCTCTCTAGGTACCCCCTCGGATAATACGAGCCTCTAATAGGATACCAAGGATTTGCTCCACCATAATACCCTTGTACATAGTTTGGCGGATAATATCCATATCGAGCTGGTGGCCTCTCTAGGTACCCCCTCGGATAATACGAGCCTCTAATAGGATACCAAGGATTTGCTCCACCATAATACCCTTGTACATAGTTTGGCATATATCCATATGCACTACTCTCGTCTTCGGGCACCGTATCAGTAATTTTCCGACTCCTGGGATGTAGTTTGCAGAAATAATTTCTGCAAACAAAGTCTTTAACCTGGGCGGGTGGATCATACACTTCACATTTATGCTTATTAATTCTCATCATGGGACAAGATCTATCTTGACAACAGCAATTTTTGTGCATTTTGTGTTGAGATTTACTTTTCTTCAAATCTTTATCCTCCATAGTTTTTGTGTTCTTTGATTTTTCCCCTTCGTCGTCTGTAGATTGTGGCTCATAGGATACAGGATTTGCCTTTTTTGCTAATTTTGCATAAGTAAGTTTGATGATTGTATCTGGATCCACCGTTGCTGATAGGGATACAAGATTTTCATCTGTGTTTATAGTGTGCGAAGAGACACCTACTACACACGAAAACATAACCACAAAATCAAGAATAGATTGAAATTGCGCAAAAGATAAAAATAGACATAAAACCTTAAACAGAATGAGCAAGAACTCGAGTAAAATGTAGTTTTATTGAAAATAGAAATTACCTGTGAGTTTGAATAATGCTTTCTCCAGTTTCTTCAGTACAATCTTCTGCAATAAGGGAACAAATAGATGATAGAATATAATGTTAAAAATGCACATTAACATCTCGAGAGGTTGATATTCCATTGGAAGAAATTCGAAGAAGAAGGTAATAAAATTAATAAGAGAAAAGTTTCAGTGGGCTGAATTTTATGCCTTCAGTTCGACAGAAATTATGTTACGTTTCTTAAATTCCAAATTCAAAATTAGAAATATTGCATTTACCACTATTAAATATAATCATTCAATTATGAAAATTTGAAGGGAATTTGAATGATTGAGTTATGCTACAATGACAAAGGGGGTTTACAAAGTTAGGTTACAAAATCAAATCTACACCAATTATTTCAAAAACAGATTTTAAATCATTTGAAATCAATGGTCCAGATTTTGCCAACATACTTTGACACTTCACCTTTGTACACCAACTTTGTAGGAGTAGAGTTATTCTTGAATGATTATTTTAGAACATAAAACAAGAAGATCAAAGAAGAATCATATCAGAAAAATAGATTTATTAATTAGTTGGTCGGTGTAATTAAACATGAGCCATTTTCAACGTTTTAGAATTTTGCATCTCAATACTACCATATGCAAATGGCAGATGCAATTTTTTGTTTTAAATTTAAATATTGACATTAATATAAGTGGTATTGCTCTATTTTATGCTTCTTATTTGGTATTTGTTTGGAGAATTCGATACTGATTTATAGATTTTTATTTTTTTAAAAATAAAGTAATAATCAATATTCAAATGAAACTATAGTTGTGTCAAAGTAGATCAAAAAATCCAGGCTCGAGACGATCCACCTTTTTTGAAAACTTGGATCAAAATCAAAGAGTTGATAAGTAATAATAAGTGGATTGTGCCTGACTTGATTGTGTATCTTGATAACTCATGAAGATTGATTCATTGGTTTGATTTATTAAAAATGCCATTTTGACTATACATACTAATTTCTTCACTATACTTTTTCAAACAATGTTCCTAGCTCTCATCTCTCGTATTCTCTCCCTAAATCAAAAATGTCTGCCAACGCTGTGAAACAAGTTTGGTACATTCCATCCCGTCTCAGCTGATACTTCATTCAGTTTTGCTAGACGGACGGGGTCACGTCGGCCTTGCGTCTTGTTCGAACAACTTTTTCCTACTACTTCACGGTATACTGAACTGGAGATCAGCACCAAACATTGCATTTTACGAATTCATCTAGACCAACGCATAAAAATCTGTTGCCAAATTTGATTCGCCTACAGTGGAAATTCTATTTCAACCAAATATTAAATTTAAAGACGAAAACGAATTTCAGGCAAAACCACTTCACAGCCTAACTAGTCAGACACCAATGTCCGTTTCCGGAAGCCAAACAAGCATAACCCACAACATTGATCATAAAAATCTGATATGTAAATACAAATATAATCCCCAGAAAAAATGATGGAAAATGCAAAACATGAAGAGTATGAAAAGAAAATTGAATTTCGTCAACTACAATCAATTCCAGTGTCAAACTTCAACCGTATCTAACTAGTAATTACCCTTTTATATTTACAACTAAAATTCCTTTGTGCGCCTATAAAAAAGGGAAGAGAAGGTATTATTCACACTACTCTCTAATCTGCCTGTCTGATCCTCTAACTAACAGTCAGCTTAAAAAAAATATTTACTTTACAAGTCAAGCTGCTAATTTCTGGTAACTGTAGTGTATGCGGATTATCTAGGTTCTTAATTCTTCATCTTGGCATGGGAAAGCTAAAATCTTGAAACCCTCCTTGATTGGGGAGATTGACAGGTGGAGGCACCGTTACGCTATTATCAGCTGTCGTAATGTCATGGATGCTCGACCTTTTTCTTTCTTTTTTCACGGCTGTTTGACGAAGATAATATTTTTGCGCATGACTAGCTACTTGTGTTGGTGTCCTCGTGACCACTACATTTCTAGAAATGCTTCTCCAATCACCTTTGCCGTATTTGTTGAGCCCGATTAAAAATAACCTACAAATACGAGTCAATGTATTGATTATTATTACGTCACAACTTAGGAAAAACAAACAGAAGGATTTCACATCTAATTATTCAGAAATGAAAATTCATTGCCGACCTTGTCGAAGAAGATGCATAAGAAAATGTCAAAGAATTATTATCTCATTAAAATTTCAAACCACGGGCAACTAGAAAGGTACGTCCTGTATTAGTAAGTAATTTAGAATTATATCCGTACTGAAATGTGAGAACTGGTTCCATTAAGCATCCTACCTCAAATAAATAAATATTCTAGATTCAACTCACAGATCATAGATTTCACAGAAAAGCTGAAAAGATCAGGAGGCATTTGTTTTTTCATTTCAAGAAGAATTAGCAATGATCTTGCTATATGTACATTAAACTTTATATAATGAATTACCTAATACCACATGACAGAATGTCATTTGTCAGTTTAAAATACATTCAACTTTTTCATCCAATCTTTTCCACTCACATCATTTTATATAATCATTTATGTATTATTTTTATGTACCAATAGCATAATCCAAATTAGCAATACAAGTTTTCAAATATAGTAAAGGCAGGCTTTTGCTTTTACTCCTCCTCGTAAAGAAACATGAGGAAGTTACTTTAGACCAACCTTCTCTAAAAATTCTTTTAATCAAATAAAATACTTTCAAAGATTATTCAAATAGAGTAATGTTATTTAACACCACTGATGTTAAAACACTAATCTAAGTAGCACTAAAGTGACATTAAGTCCCTATTTGGTGGAGACAAAAATTAAATTTTTAATAAATTTTGATAGAAATTGATGAAATATATACTTGAAAAATTGTGAGTTCCACGAAATATGTGGTTAAAATTAATTGTGGACTTTGACCTGAATTAAAATCTTGATTTTATTTCCTACGTAACAAGAGCTAAATGATAGGTATAATTAAACGAATCACTTAATTCTACTTTTCATTGAATCTATCATTTAACATCACCTAGAACGTTGACGTAGCACTGATGTTAAATAACATTATTCATTTAATTATGTTCATAAGCAACGTATAAATCTCAAAAGCAATTATTAACTTCTCAAAAATGCCAAATATGCCCTAGTGTGCCCTAAATTGCACTTGGATCTCAAAATAGATTGTGTTTTGTATTAGCATTTTCGTTCAACCGAAAACGACAAAATTGCTTAAAATTTCGTTCCACAAAAGCTAAATATACGTCCTAATGAGCCTCAAACAGACTCCAATTCCAAAATCATCTTCTTCTTCGTTAATTTAACTATTCCCTCTCCCCTTCACATCTTAAACCCAAATTCTAGATTTCCAATTGACATAAAATACAGCTCAACCCCCTCTTCATTGACCTTGTCCTTGCAAAATCTGGAAACCTTTAAACAAACAATTTATGTTTCTTCAAACTTAATTCTATTGTTTACCTAACAACCTAACATACAAGAAAACAAAGGCAACAGGCGCGTCAAAAGAAACATTACCGAAATTTTCAATAATATAGAATTGAAAGGAAATCAAAGACTGTACATTTGAAAAAAATAAGAATCCACATTCAATAATTACTTCAAATTGTTCTTTTAAAAGAAAATCACGAATTATAAAACCCAGATTCTACCATATTCTGAAGATTAAAAAACCCTCGATAGTTAATAAAGATTTTTGTTGTTTTCCAATTGAAGCTAAAAAATGATAAAAACAAGAATCTAATGATTTTGTAGAATTCTCCTTTCATCTCGACGAAAAATAATACCCACAAAAATATATATAAATTAAACATTAACCCAAAGTTCAAAATCATTTCCATTGAATAAAAGCACATATAGGAACTTTTAAATCTGTACGCGCAAGTACCTGTGTTCTTCTTCTGTCCAAGGTGTTCCTTTCTTCCTTTCTACCTCGTTCTTCGTTCTATGCCCACTCGACCCAAAGGAGATCTGACCCTGCCTTTTCGATTCAACCTGATTCCACTCAAACGTGTCTGAGTCATCATCATAATAACTCGGCAGGTCGACCCGACCAGAATCAATCTCGTACACATCGTGCAGAAGCGCCTCGTAATGGGCCCTGACATCATTCGGAGTCTTTTCAGGCAGCCGATCGGCGATTTTATGCCATCGGTGTTCCTCCATCTCGTCGGCGAAATCCACCAAAGCCTTTTCAAAAATCTTGTCATCTTGCCGACTCCACAACACCGGCATCACCGCCTCAGAATTCCCCATCATCCTCCATTCATTACCACTACTATTATACATCATTTAATAACTTAGCTTTATCAAATTCAAGGTGTTAAAAAGAGTTTTTTATAAGGGTTTTGGGAGAAATTAGAGGTGGAGGTAAACATACAAATATGGGGAGGTTTTGGAGATGGAGAAATATGGATGTACACGTTTTTACTTAAATTGGTGGAACTGGATCTTCTGGAACTGTATATAGAAACAAATTTCATTTTGACTTCTTCTTATTTATTCATGTAATTATTTAATTATTTATCACCCATTATTTTGTTCTTTTATTTTATGCCTTGTCATAATTATATAATTTTAAATTTAATTATAATCAGATTATAGCCTATTTGTCGTAAGGCTTTTGACTTGAAATTGGACTTGACTAATTTTGTGCTTATGGATTAGCTTATACATTTTCAATGTACATTGCTTGTAATAATATATTTTATTGCGTAAGTGCAAAGAAATAAAAAAATCTTGTTGAGAAACTAGTCTAATTCTAAACCCCCAAAATTTAATATTTGAAATTTTTGAAAATAATAGAGAGAATGAAAACAAAGAGTTTATTCCAATAAAGAATTTGAGTTGACATAGATGAAAATTCAAGTAGCTGAAACTGAAACAGCTACTTTATATCAAAATTGAAGTTATACAAGTAATATAACTACGAGAAATATGGGTCGATATTAACTTTTAACGAAACTCAAGTAACTCTAATCACATACTAGAGTCTTTGTGAAGGTAAAACTCTACTAGGTCAAAATTGATTACCTTCGAACTCGACTTTGAGCTCCACTTGCAGGAGCTTTTGTACCCTTCCTAGGAAAAAGTGGCTTGAATCCATCTCAATAAAATCAACTCAAGCATTATGGGAGTTCATGGCTGCTTAAGACCACAAAATTGGATATGGTCTGCACATCGTGCTACTTTCGTGTTCTAGAAAGTACCTAGAAATGCCTAAAAAATGTGCATGCGTTCCTGACATGGCCTGCACACCGTACTGCTTTTGTGTGCCGAAAAATCTGCCTGCGTCCCTACCACGGTCTGCACACCGTGTTGCCTTCATGTGCCTGAAAATATACCTGCGTCTCTGCCACGACCGAAACGTGTCCTGGACATAACCTGCACTACTTCAACTTTTAAAAATTTAAATATCTTGTCTTTGTTTTTTGGAAAAATTTCATATCTAAGAAATTATGTATAGTTCATTTCAAAACTAAGACATAAGGTTTTAAATTCCAAAAATTAGATATTAATTAATTTTATTTATGAATAATTAATTAAAAATATATTTTATTAATTCAATGTATTAAGGTCACAATTCTATATTATTTGATCACAAATTATCAAATTAACTGATGACAAATTATTTCTCGATCACGAATTAAAATTTTAGGATTCACAAATTATTTTACGGTTACAAATAAAAAAATTTACAAGTCACAATTTATTCATTAGTCACAAACCAAAAAAGTTATAGATCACAATTTATTTATTGATCACAAATTATTAATTTTATAAGTTATAATTCAAATTTTCAGGTCACATATTATTTATTGGCCATAAAAATATCCAATTTATTTGTTACAATTTTAAATAATTGATCACATATTATTTATTGATAATAATTAACCAATTTATTGATCACAAGAACTAAATAATTGATCATAGACCCTCTTTATACAATCCCAACCCAACACAACCCCATCACCACCAAAACCACCATCTCACAATCACTAGACCACCACCGCCTGTACTAAAAATCAAAACCACCATCTCACCACCGCTATTTCATTAGTCACATGTTATATTATTGATCACACATTAACAAATTTATTGGTCACAATTAATCAAATAATCTATTACTATCACCACCATTTGTTACCTATACCTCACCACTACCTCCAATGATACCGCCGCCAATACCACTGTCGCCACGTCATGACAATTGGCAACATTACTACCATGTGCACCAACTCAGACAAACTAACATTCACCACCAAAAACCACCACTACTTCACAACCACAACGACGGTAGCAACGATGACACCACCAACACCAACAAAACCGTTTATGACCACTAACTCAGCACCCTAAAAACCCAACACCAAAACATAGAAAACCATCATCGTCACCACCACTCCAACAACAAAAATAAAGATCTCAGCGCCAAGTGGAAATTATTAGTGGTCAGAATGCTATCGACATAAATTAAAGTCTATTGTATGTGGTTGACTGGGCAGTTTCGACGATTAAATTTGGTGGCTTCTCTCTGAGATTGGTGATCCATGGATCGAGGCCGCTCTTATACGTCGAATCTGCGACTAATAGCAGCGGTGGCTGCTCTGATGTATGAGATCCACTATGGCAAGAAAGCCGAGAATGGCGCAGGGCGACGTCTTAAGCGTCGTTGGTTGCTTTGGAATGACGGGAGCCCAGTAACTTCGCAGTGGCATTGGCTACTTCAGAGAAGCGCAACCGATGGTAGCGTCTTGAACGTCGTGGTTAGCTGCTTCAGAGTAATGTCGCTCCGGTGGTGGGGTCTTGAGTACCGCGGCGTGGTGCCGACGTCGTGAGCGTCGCAATGCCGACAATATCTTCAGCTATGATGTGCGAGAAAGAGGAGAGAAGTGAGGGATATGGGCAGAGGGGGGGTTGAGGGAGAAAACTGTTAGGGTTTGGGAGTGAAATTTGGTGTGTGGGTGGATGGGGTGTGATAGTTAAGTAGATTAATTAATTTTATAATAATATTGTTTTATTAATATTAAAAGTTTGAATTATTATCTGATTATTGAATAAAAAACTTTTAAATTTGAATTTGAATTAGATAGTTAAAAAACATGACTGTATAATTTCCACTTGTCTTTTCCTTATAAAAAACCATGTTTGTAATTAACAACATTATAATATCATTAACGATTTTGAAACATTTTTAGTCAGTTTGATTCCTCAAAAGAAAAAAAAAAAAATTACTTTCTTCCCTAATAGAATCAGTTCCATTTAATCGACTTGCCCTTATTTGATGGTCATTATTTGAGAAAATAATATTTTGAATAGTAATTTTTAGAAGAATATGTGGTTAAAAGGTGTGAAAATATTTGAGGTTTACATGTAAAATATTTTATTATGTGAATGTATAATTGAAAATACTCACGTAGAAAAAAAAATTCAAATAATAGTTGTCTAACGGGGGCTATATATAAAATGTGTTATTATAACATTTTTTGACAATGTTATTGTGAAATTTTTAGTAGGTTGGACTAGACACGACGACATAAATAAATAACAAAACATTTAACGGTAATTATCCATGAGTTTGTGTGACCAAAGTTTTATTTTAATATTTTTGTCAAATTACTTTAAAATTTATTAACATCAACTTTTTTTTTCTTTTGTTAAGGAAAATCTACAAACCTATAGCTATAAAATATAATAATTAACAAAATACTAACTTAAGCCTAATAAATTAAACAATATTTTAATTGACAAAAATACAAAAATTGTAGTACTTACCAACATCGTGAATTTTACCAACAATAAACAAAGCATATTAAGATTTAATTAATAAAATGTTATTTTAAAGCAATTTTTTGCTTTTATATCTCTAAATATATTTAAATAAGTTATTTAAAAAAATAATAATGAAATTCACTACTTCTATTGCATACTTCTCTAATGATAATCTTTTGTTAAACACAAATAAATATTTTACCATTTTAATCTAAGCAACAATGTAATACAATTAAGAGGTGACTTGAAAAAATGAATTTTTTTTTTTGTCACATTTTTTCCTTCTATAATTTTATTCAATTCTTTTAATTAATTGGCGTCTCCTAACCTCGAAATATTATTCATTATTGCAAAAAACAAGATTTAAATAAATATGTATAATTTTTCTTTAATATTTTAATCACATTGGAGTTGAGATATGATATGCACTTTTAAATTAGATCACATGATTAGTATTAGTTCAAATTCTGTTATCGTCTATTTACAAAAAATTTGCATGCGTTAATCATCTGATTAAAAGGTCTGCATGTAAGAATGTGTTAAAGACGTGATTTAAATTATAACACTAATAAATAATGAAATGTCCCATATAAAATATAATTTAGCCCCTATTTGTTATCCATTCTTTGTTCATTAAAATAAAAAAATATGGCCGTTATTAATTATATCAAATCATCAAATTTGAATTTTTATATTTTGTGTGAGGCTCATAACGACTGTATTTTTCATTCTCATTTTTGTAAAAATGAGAAACAAACGTCCCTTACTATCACGAAATCCATATAAATGAAAATAAATTATTGAAAATTGTATTAAATTTTTGAACTACCCAAACATGACGCGCATTAATTAAAGTCAAGACATTGAATTTGAACTCACCAACCTATTTCCATACAATGTACAAACATGTTGACATATACACTAATTAATTTAAAACTATTCAAAAATAATTATTAATTATTTCACATATTTTACTAATTTCTAATAAACGTGTCCTTTTATAAATGTATTATGTGTGCAATGTCGGCAGCCACCTACGACAGGTGGATTTGTCGTTTTCTTGAGTTTGGTAAATACTATCCCTTTAGGCTGTCACTTTAAAAAAAGTGGCATTGGCCAATCTCCTTCATCTAGAAGGCACCGGGAAGTTTACGATCTACGTGGCGTGCTGACAGATGAACACGTGTACCACAACAGGAAAAGTACAAAAGTTTTGGATAAGATGAATTTTGCCACCTAAGATGTTAATGGATAACGTTGAAAGCTCCCACGTTTTATTTCAAAAAGAATTTTGCTATTTATATTTGGACATTAACACGCCCCTCATAAGAAGGGGGTTCGCACTGAAAAAAGAAAAAGTCCGGGCTGTGAGGGACATGTCAATAGGAGTGAGCACGGGTCAGTTCGATTCGATTCTATTCGATTCTAAATAGAATCGAACCAAACAGAACTTTTCGAGTATCTAGTAAATGGAATCGTCGGGTCCAAATATAATTATGGAACCGTTCGGGTTCGGTTCCTTTCGGTTCAGTTCGATTCGGTTCTGTACTATAATTAAATTTTTTAACATTTATAACAACATTATATAAATACAACTAATGATACATTCAATGATTTTGAAATGTCAGAGACTAGTAAACTACCTTATTCAAATGATCGCTA